TCGTACCATCACTTCCACACCCAAAGCTGACACTCACCTTGCAGACCTGCACTTTTTCCTGACATTTGTCCTGGACCAGCTCATACTGGATGCGCATTTTCTCCATGCACTCCACATTAGGTGTGTCTGAATGATATGGAACAGACCACGGTCAACATTCCTGTACTTCACAGTGCAGTGTGAAAAGGAAACATGACAGCAGCCCTGTGCTGAATCTCAGCACAGGGACAGATGCCAGCAGTGTCTGCACACCACTGTGACACCACCAACCAATCAAAAGAGACACCTTAATACACAGCTGTTTATAATTATGCTTCAAAGTAGCAAGTTATTTACAATTGCTACCAACCTCCATGCTACCATACAGGCTACAAAGCTCACTGTGCTCTGCAGCAAGAGAAGGCAGACACAGAGGGAAGGCATACTACAGGACTTGGAGAAAGGAATTATCTGCAATATTTCCCCTCTTCTTCTCTGAGAGTTAAAAAGGAGGATTTTTTTAGGATTGAGAACTGATCCATGTCAAAATTAACCTTCTATTTCCCCCAGATTAATTCTAACAAGCCAGTTTCTGCTAGATCTCACCATGAGGAAGTGTTTGCACTGGCCAAAGGAAAGTGATGTCACAGGCAGCTTCTTTGGGTCTTACTAGTAGCCAGCTCAAAGCAACAGAGAACGTAAGTGGGAACATATAGAATAAAGAATTGAGCAAACATGCACTTTCACAGCAACTGTCTGCCTCATTGTTGCCTGGGGAAAAAGAAAGGATTGCTTGAATTCCAAACTGGTTTTATCATTTCTCAACTTACCAATACTCCTGTTTAAATTCTCCAGAGTTCTGTACCATTCATTTATTATGTCAGATTGTGTATGTTTTGGAGGCAACAAGGTGCTATCAAAGTAGGAAACAAGAGTCAGGTATCTTAAAATACAAATCAGTCGGCACTTAAAATATAAAATTATGAATCAGAGTATCCATACTACTGTGCATTATTTTATTTAAAGCCATTTTAAAACATTTACCATGGCCTTATTGTTAATGAGCTTGTGAACATCAGCTGCCAAGAAGAAAGAAATTTCTTCCAGTTTCAAGGTATACTTGGTCAGTACATCTGCTATCTGTGCAATAAAATAATAATGAAAATCAACAACAAAAAGTGTAACTCAAATATCAATTTTCAAAATAAAAAACTACAGGAATGAGACAATTTTTCCATTAAAATCAATTTAAATAATTAATCAATTAAAGAAATTAAAATGAATTTAAGTTAATTGGATGACAAAGACTGAGAAGTAAATTTAAAAATATTACTCTTAGCTATCTTAATGACTGATTTTTTCATTAATTCATAAAAATAGTAATGAAAACATTCCACTTTGCTACTACTCAGCTGATTTCTCTTTAATTGTGATAATTGAGTGCTCTGCAGACAGGCTGCAATATGAATTTAAAAATCAAACCAGCTTCCCTTCAAATATCTGAAGGGAATCCACCAGCGTCTGTTTTACGTGAACACAGAATTAAAGCAAATGTGTTCATCTCTGCCATTTGTTGCAACTAATCCAACAGAAAGGTTACTGGTGATACTCTCAGACTTACTCACCATACCTGAATTACAAAGAGAGGAGGAACAGGCACTGATGGAACAGTTTTTCTTTGCCTACAAGGACAGTGCAGCAAGCTCTTCCAGAGTCTATCCATTTTTTTATCCAAACGTTTCCTATGATGTCCAATGACTTTGACAG